ATTCCAGCCCGTGCTGCAGGGCAGATGCAAGCCCCAGGTCTAAATATATCCCACTGCTATTTCCAGGTGCAGTCACACGGTGAGGGAGCTGTGGGGTAAGAGGATTCTGTGCTCAGGCTGCAGCAGCTCTGCACAGGGCACTGAACCAAACGGATCACTTGAGGACAAGGGATTAGACCTGAAATCCTTCCATCCTCGTCCCACCACCCCAAAATCGGGAATGGCCTTTCCCAACACAAACAGGCTGTGCTCTGGGGGACCTACATCTCTGGTGCTTGAGGTTGGCTGCAGTTACCCTCACCATTCAGCAAGTGCATGTGCAGCAGTGAGGAGCTGAGGAGATCCCTGCCAGAGCCACCAGGGCCCTGTTTCACCTCTTCTCCTGGGCAGCCTCACCCTGGATGCACATGAAACTAATCCATGTTCCAGCAAGTCTCTTCAAGCTCTTCCTGGATTTTGCTAGACCCCTGGAATCACTCAGAGACATCCAGCAGAGCCATGAATTGCTGCTGAGCTGGGTGGCCAAGGCCTGAGCACAGGGAGAGCCTGCAGCCCCTGCCAGCTGTGCAGAGTGTGGTCAAATCCCAACACTGCCATGGTTTGCACAGCACCTGACTGCCTGCAGGAGTAACATCTAGTACTCCTTAGTACAGATTTTCTGTGCTATGCACCCAAATCAGTCCCAGAGCCTCAGACAGGTGAGTCTGTCCATGCCAAGAGCAGAGAGCTGGTTTGCAAGAAAAGAAAGCTGTCTTCTCTTAATAGAAAATGAGATTTCATCACCTGGCAATGTTTATTTCACCCACAAGCCACCCTGAGATTGGAAGGGGCAAAGCATGGAACTGGAGCAGGATGCCAATATGGGTTTTGTGGCAGAAGGGAGTTTTTTGCATCTTTAAGTCTTAATCATTAAACATCTGAAGTGACCCAGGATGGGTCTTTGTTTTGGTGTTCAATCTGCCATATCTTCAAACAGCCCATGCTTCTGTCACAGCTGGACCCAGGACATTGCTGTCCAACACCCAGCACTTGGGTGGGTGCTCTGTGAACACCCTGTGTGAGCAAGGCCCTAAATCCACAGTGCTGAGACCACCCGAGTCACCCACGCTCATCCACACCTGCCCAGAGGTGACCACTGGCAGGCTGACACCAGCCCAAAGCTCCAGATGCCTCCTTGGCAGGGCACCCGATGAAATGCTGTTGAAATATTGCTCGTTAAGGGAAGTGCTCTGCCAATTTAGAGTGCTCTGAGGCCCTCAGAGGCCTCCCAAAGGACTGAGCCCTGACAAACGACACTCACATTTCTCAGCCATTAGTCACTTCAATATTGCTTTGAAAGACTAGTGAGTCAAACAGGCACCAGAGTCATTTCCACAGTTACAGCGAAGAGAAAACAAACCTAAATCAAATATACTTTTTTCCCTTCTGCATAACAGCAACATTGAGCAAGACCTGAAAGCCACCACAAGTGGTTTTTATAGGCAAAACCAAATCCTGCCTTCCCAGCTCCTCTCCTTCCCATCTTCCCCTCTGCTCATCTGGGAACTGGGCACACTGGCTGTCATGTAAAGCCTGGAGAAAAGGGAATAATGAAACGCCACTGAAGAGAGACAAAAAAGAAAGTTTGAGCTATGGGGTTGCACCACAGGAAGAGACATTTCTTGGGCAACAAACAGGAGGTTGTGAGTGTCAGACAAACAGAGAGTAACAGGAAAGGGCCCTGATCTTCTCTATTTACCTGTGAAGACTTTCTCAAGTTGTACAGCTGTGGAGAATAAGAAAGGGGGAGGATATAGTGTGAAGTGATACAGTGTGAAGTTGAAACTGATTTTTCTTGAGGAGGAGTCCCTACAAATTGCATCAACACAAGGAGAGAAAAAAGGCCACTGTGTTAGGGATTAAGAAATTCCTAAACTCACACTCAGTGTATTTTTCTTTGTATGGGTGGGGGAAATCAACAGCAGCTGTGGACATAGAAAACCTCTTCCATTACACAGCAAAAGAACTATCTTGGGGTTGCTACAAGAGATGAACCTCATCCCTAACATTTTTAATAGTCATATCTCTTCTTCCAAAGGCAAATATTCCCTATCAAGCAGGAGAATT